TTAATATACATACTACTCGTCGATGACTTTGATGTATATTTCTATAAGTAAGTAAAACAAATATTAACATTATTACTGGTTGCATGACACCACTGAGTATAATATACAATATACTATTCAATTTTGGTTGTGTAGATATACACCAATATCCATACATAAGATCATAAAGAATTGGTGCATTACTCGAAATAAGACAACTTGAAATAATTGTAATTGTGATTATCCATGGTACCATTTTAAGTTGATTGAGTCGTTGTATTGATGATGTAAGTTTACAAGTACAAGCAAATCGATCAATAATAGCCATAACCAAGAAATTAATTGATAAATGAGGAAGAAATGCAAGAAGAAAAACATTAAGTTTGCATGTAACACGTGAAATATACCATGGTATATAAATTTTATATTTTGCAGCAAGATAATTTGGAAATAAATTGAGAGAAAGATTTATTATATCAATGATTGAACCACAAAGTGAATAAATACAACAAGTATTAGAACGAAGTTCAGCTTGAAGATAAGTAAAAATATTTCCAATAAAGCCAATAAAACCAAAGATAAGAAAGATAAGTGGAAGATAGATGATAAATCTTTCTGAGACAAAATTAAGATCATTAATAATCGATTTCGAAACTAATGCTATATCGATAGTAGTTGTAATATTATTTGGATTCATCTTGGGAACTTGTTCTCACGATACAAAAAATATGGAATATTGAAAATAATAATATCTATATATACATAGCATTATATAATTTCTCTTTTCTTTTTCTATGATGAAAAGTTCCATGAGTTTAAAATAGAAAAAATGACATGAAAATTTTATGAACTCTAATAACAAAAATTGATAGAAATTTGAGTACTATCGCTTCTAGTAGAACGAAATATGATTATGTTTCAACAAGTAACTCGAGGAAAATAAATTAAAAATAACTACAGATTTAATAATGTTGTAATGAGTAGAGCCTTTATTCAAACATGAAATGATGCTTATATCTTAAGAGTCTTGACATAAATAGAAAGAAGTCGGACACTTCGAAATGTTTATGAATTTTGATTTTGTCCTATACAATCAAACGTTTTTTTTTTATTATGAGAGTTCAAAATGATAATACTGGAAAATAATTATTTTATAAACCATAACATTTTTCGAGTGCCTTTGTTTTTTTTTTCATAAAAGATTTCGTGAAAAAACTATTTTTTGAACTAAAGACAAATGTTCAATAATATATATGGTTTCAAGATTTTCGTTAGATCATTTTCAATCGCTTGATTTCATAATCTAATTCATCTCAAATTCTATTTATTTAATGTTCAGCATGCGTTGGCAACGCTTCAAAAAAAAAAAGAAAATAGATATCGTTGACAGAACTGTCAAATATTCTCCCATGGGCTTATTAAATGTTGTCAAAGAACATAAGATGTATGGCAATATCTTGTGTTTTGAGTTTATTTAAGTAGAAGTATATCAAAAAAAGAAACATTCAGTATTTCGAACCTATGACGTCTTCATATGATTCATGATTTTCTTAATATTTCTTAGTCAAAAAAGTCTTTTGGGGTGCATTACAAATGTAGAGTTTGTTTTATTATAAAAAAACAAGCAATCGATTAGAAAAGTAATATGTATTGTTAAAGGTTTTTCACTAAACTATACAAAATGAATTTATCATTACTTTAGTAACGATGATACTTTAAGTAATTTGACAAAAATTATCGGACATTTACTTCAACCATTTAACATGGAGTTTAAAATTAAAGGTCGAATAATAAAATCAAATCGAATCTTGACTAACTATTCACTTTAAACTGAAATTACACTGATTATTCTCTATTATTAATTTTAATTATATGTTTTTTTAATGTCAAATGATCTTATAACTAAATTGACAGCTGCTAAATCGTATAAACTTCTAATAAAGTTTCTACATTGGTTTTATTGTAAGTAGAATGTTCAGAAGTAGAGTTGACAAACTTTTAGAATACATTATATAATAAGATTCAATGTGGAATCATATTATGTTTTGATCAAACGGAATATGTTTTTATCTGATGTGATTAATATGAAATGAAATAATGAGTATGAAAAAGTCCTTGATCATCATTGATTCAACGTTTTTAAAGATATTCATTGTAATTTAACGAATGTTTGAAAAGTAGCTATTTTCCATAGTCAGATGTTCTTACGGAGCAAATAATTATTGTAAATATAACAATATATTGCAATAAAAGCGATTAGATGAAGTTGTACACAAAAAAACAAGAATTTTATTTATCAAAGTTTCGATCGTTGTCTTTTTCGGTTTACATTTGTTCAACAATTACATTGTATTTTGTGATTCTGTATAGTATAAAAGCCTTTATTCTCAAAATTGATTTCTGTTACACTACGATCTAATATAATCAACATGTTTTTTGTTTTATATTTTGACATATCAAATATAAGTGTTTGATTTTAAGTAGAGGTCTAATGTAATAAAAATTATATATTTTTCAAAAATTGGATCCGATTGCTGAGTATTATCTTTCAAAAAGAGGAAGATAGCAGAAAACTTAATTCGTTGCAATAAAGCTTCGAAATATCATAAAAAAAACCAAACAACATGACTTTTCTTCGAAAATGAAGATCTTCGAACTTCCGATACTTTTTATTGGCAAGATTCTACAGAAAAATAAAGCCCTTTGATGATTTGCAAAGAGATTTTTAAGGGTTTAAAAATGCAAAAGTAGTATTGACCTTAGCATTGTAAGATTTTTAGCTCAAAACCTTGAATTAAAGGCATATGGTGATGTAAATATGCTAGTTCCAATATAAATTAGGATATTCAATTCAGCGCACCCTTCCTTTATCGTGGGAGTCTTATAACGTAGGGAGGATGTATTTTGAAACTTCATTGTTTAATTATATTCAAAAAAAATATATTAACTGCTGTTTAATAGAGAAAAACTTTTATAAAACTTAGGAATCAACTAACAGTTATGTTGTTTAGGAAAGTTCATGTTTTATACTCTAAAGTTATGCATACGCTTCAAATTTAGCTTGTTTTCTAAAAAGAAAAGAGAAAAAATACCTAAAACAACCTAGCTAAGCAATTTAATAATTGATTAGAGATCTTATACATGAACTGTAAAATGCTATGAACAATCGTTGAAAAAATAATTTGAAACTTATTTCCAAATATTAATATCAACTCAAAAGAAAAAAAACAACTAAATTAGTTCTTATTTTTTCAAAGAATATCGAGCATGTATTTTTGGTAGTACAGACGCGTAGTATCTAGTATAACAATCACAAAATTCACAAGGATCAATTCGTTGTTGGGAGGAACATCGCTCCCTTGAGTATCATGCTAGAGAAAACACTGCATGGAAGCATAGGAATATACATCGGTAAGTTGAGCACATAGATGCATAAATTATGTGTGCTCATGAAATAAAAGTTCTGGAGAGAAGTTACGAAATAAATCATATTCATAGTTTGACATTTCATTAGTTTCATTGCGTAAATTAATGTTACAACAGCAATTTTCAAAATTTCTTCGAGTTGAATTAAATTGAAAGCGGATATATCGAGAAAACATGTTCAATTCATAGACATGTGTACATTTTGTCTAATTTAATTCATAGATTTTTCCGCAATATGTTAAATCATTTCAACTAAGTTGCTCAGCTCTGATAATTAGCATTAATTTTGTATAGAAATAATCTCAGATCCAATAGAAATTTTCAATTAACATATACGCGTAAGCATTTTCCAGTTTATTTGCTTTTTCTACTTTTTTTCAATATGGCTTCCATGTGCTCTTTCATCGATAATGTATCGATACCTGGATTAAAATAACATGTTTAATTACCATTTTTTATTGCTGTATTATCCATTAAAGGATATAGATTATCTTCATTACTAGTAACGATTATTTGACAGATAATTGAATGATATGGAAACCATATACAAATTCTTCTTTTTCGTTTGATGTAGTATTTTCGTTAAAGTATACATCATTTGCTGGTTGATTATTTGATAGTGTTTTTCCATTTTTACTTTACTTAATATGGCTGATGAGTAAATCCTGCGGTGCTGTCAATTGACCTAATCGACCTTTAGCAAAAGGAAGAAAAAACTAAAAGTCACTAGAAAAGGATTTTTTAATAGATTATTCTTGATATACTTGAGTGTTATCAGAAGAACAAATAAATTTCAGTTCATTCCATGTAAAAGGAGTATCTTATTGTAGTAGTGATAACTTGTTCGGAACAAAGTTCTAAACGATATACTTGTATTTGGTGACCTAAACAACAAACTATATTTAAACCATTGAGAAAAATAATTTTTATCTTAGTTTCAATAGTAATATCAATAAGGATGAAATTAAAACTTGAAAGATGTAAATTATTTTCTCATCCGTTTCCTATGTTCAAGAAAACTATCAAGAAGGAATTTGGTAGATGTATTAGAGTTATTTCAGTGTATTATAGGACTATTGATGTTAGAAATTCTTTAAGAAGCTCCTTTGAATAAATTAATTTGTTTACATAGTTCTTGTCAAAATAGTTTATCTGAATCTTCTAATTTGATAAATTGTTATAGTACTTACAGAATTTTCATTGTTGTTAGTAATCTTTCTCGCTGATTTTTAAAGGTAAAAATATCCGACATCCATATTTGAATTGCTTTCTTATTGCATGTTCAAAGAAGTAAATAAAAGCCGTGGTGAAGACAACTGTTCCAAAATAGATAGAATAGAAGAATATCTCTATGGTTAGCAACAACAACTACATTTTGTTTCACATTTTAATGTAACAGAGAATGCACTAACGGCTTTCTATAACACCATTGACGAACAGTTCTTTCATGCCAACTGTTACATGTAACTATAACACGTTTCTCCTAGTTTTAAAAAATTGGAGATTGAAACTAGTCGAACAAAATGCAATTTTAATAAATTCGAACGGTAAAAATTATGAGTTATAAGATTAGAATGTATTATTGCAAGTTAATAGACAAAATAATTTTACAGAAGGTCAAGATCATCAAGCGTTGTTCTTTTTTTTTCAAAGTATTTCTCATTTCAATGGTTTATTATTTAAAACTAGAGCTGGTGTGTCAAACATCCTAAAAAATGAGGGCGGATAAGATTGTTTGTTGACTAGGAAAATATTTCAGTTTTTTTGTTTTTTGATAAGGTAGATTATGGTTTCGAAAAACATTAGCTTATTCGATTACGTCTAAACTATAGTTATTCACTTTAGATCAAAAAAAAGTATAATGTCAAAGTAAATGACAAGGATATTTTTCTCGAAGCAACCAAAAAAGTAATTTGACTAAATTAGTTTCAAATACTTTTACATCACATAATCAAAATATTCAAGTTTTTCTTTTTAATTAGCAAATGAATAAAATAAAATCTATAAACTGATAATCAATCGAATTTTTTCAATCAAACAATAATCGTAAGTCAATTAAAAAAAAAAGCAAAACAAGAAGTAAGAGTAACATGTCACATTTATCGTATACTAAGTGACTTTTATTCGTCATTCTCTATGTTGATTATGTTTCTCATTCAACTATTATTATACGCATTTCTATTATATTTAAACTGTAAGACTTCAAGGTCATTTTATGATAAATCAATTTATTTTTCATGTTATAAGATGTTGTGGATAAAAAAGTAATAAAAATTTCGTTAAACTTGTTTTTTTCACCTAATTGAAACATGTAATTACATATGACGCCATTCAAAAATTATTTTGTATATTATTCATCGTTTTTTTTTCATATGACTGTTGTTAATTTTCTTAGCTTCTCCTGCACGTGTGATTTAAGAGTCGAACACATTTTCTCTGTTCTCTTTCATCACAAGCTTAGTGTTTTTTTTTTTTATTTTGCAACCCAACACAAATATTTATAGCATTGATATTATACGTTATTGACATGTTCTTTACTATCTTTTACTTGATAACGGTAGATAAGAGATTTAACAAGTATTTTTCTAAATAAAGATCAAATTACTTTTGTTGTTTTTATCTATTCGACACTTTTTTTTAGTTTTATTCAGTATTCTACGAAATAAAATGAAAACTTTTGTTTATTATTTTAGTTGATCTATGATATCAAAAAAGTGAATTTAAAATTGTTAATAAATCAATTTTCAATATTTCAAATGATTTTAACTTTCTTCAAACTTTTCATTAGTTTTATTATCGATTTGATTCTTTTTTTTTCCTTTGTTTTTGAACATATGGCTATGGGTTTAAATCTTTCAACGAATTTAATTTTAACATTATTTGTTAACAATATTTTCTATTAATCCTGCTGGATTTTTGTTTTCATTGATATTCTCGTCATTAATAATGTTCTAATTGGACATCACTTAGTGCATCTTTATTGAATGTTGTTATGAATATGGAACTATATGATTTCATCTTTGATGTTCATCAACTATACCACTATGTAACAGAACATGATTATTTTATGTATTGTTGACTATGTAAACAAATCCTTATCAATTAAATAATTGATTGTTAAGAAAAACTTGATCAATTATTACTTTTTTCTAAATAAGATGTCATATCGACCTGAAGATTTTTAGGAAAGAACAATGATAGACATTGAAATAAAACAATTGTCTTATATTGTGTTTTTTCGACTAAGAAAAATTGAAAAATTTTCTCCTACGTCATCTATGGGATTGTTTCCTACACATCATGGTGTGCAATTAGTTTATATCAATTGTTTTTGACTTCGTTGCTGTCATGATTAGAAAAATACAATGCTAGTTTTTTCCTCATAAGAAATGGTATATTAACACTAGTAGCTTCTCGTGCTATACAAGTTTCTGAATAGTAGGAAAAATTAGTTTTAATCGAAAATCGCGTATCTAAGAATTTTTTAGCTTTTGTGTGAATAAGTTTTGAAATAATTGTCTCGATGTCGGAACATAGACTGGAATCGAGTCTAAGGAAAAGTAGAAAATTACAAGGTTCTCAGTTTCTCACACCTGTTTTTCATTTTTTTCTTCTATTCTCACGTATTAATCAACCAGATATTTATCGTCTCTTGTCCTTGCTCACACAAAACTTCGATCAATAGGCTCAATCCATTTGAATTTCTTTATATTTATCGTAAAATATTAAATTACCAATATGACGTGCATAAAAAAATATTTATATTTGTGAAAAAAAATATTATTTTTGATTGTTTGCAACCATTTTTGAAATAAAATAACATTTCTTATTAACGTCTTAGAATTTTCTCAATTGCTTTTATTGGGTCATGCTACGGAAGGCTAACTTAATTCTGAATAAATATCATATGCTGTTAACTAGGATCTGATATAAGTCTTACGCAAACCAGATTCTGAGACGTTGTTTAAAAACTGAATTCTCCTCAGTCAATATTTGTAAATGATTATGATTAGAAAAAAAGTAATGAATTTTGCTTTTGTGTACTATCTCAAACCTCATAATGAATAAAAACTAGTTGAAGAAAATCTTTTTTTGTTTTTGTTATAAAATAATGGTTATTTTCATTTATCAACAACAGGACTATTCTATGCATAAATGAATTAAAATACTGTTTTATCAATATGTTTTACTATAAAAGTAACATGTCAAATTTGGTAAATTACGATTACTGCTTTAGCCATTGAACATTATTTATAATATTATGTGCAACAATGAAGGAATCGTCTACGTTCCAGAACATTTATAAGTGAAAAAAAACGAATCGAATACTGATTTTATCATATTGTAGAGATCTTGTCGAGTATTATTTAGTATATTACAATCTCAATTCAAAACACCATAACTATGAAATATGATTCTAAAATTTAATTAACATGATATGAATGCAACTTCTTCAATGTTGTGTTACTTTCGAATAAGGTAATATTTTAGTAGATAATTTAGTAGATTACTCATGAAATGAATAATCTTATACGGATAGAAAGCTTCTTACAGTACCACTCAAATGGATAAGAATATGAGTTTTCCTTTAAGTACTGTGACGTATCAATATAATTATTATCTTTCTATCATAGAAAATATAAGAAAGATTCTATTGATTGATCATCGAAAAGATATAATATATGATTACATATCTTCGTCAAACATCATACTAGTATCAGTTCTTTGTCTTTTATTTTCATCAGGTGGGTATAAGTTAACAGAAGGGTTTTCTTCTTGTGGTGGTACATTCATAGATACTTCTGTATTTGTTTCGTATGCTGATGTCACAGCTAATGATTGTTGACTTTCTTTTGGATTAAGAGAATATGAATCTTTATTTCCGTTGTCGATGTTCTCTAATGATGATGATGATGAAGATTTATTAAAGTAATATTTTCGAATTAGAAAATAACCAACACCGCCAATGAGACCAATAAGTAAAAGTGTTCCAAGTACCGACCCAATAATTTTCAATATATCAGAGTCTTCGTTTGAGTTTGTTGAGTTACTAGGACGAGAATTGTTATCATCTGTTGAGTTATTTATTTGATTATTGGTTTCATCATCAGACGTTTCAGAACCATCAGGTATTTCAGCAGAATCAATTGAATTATTTGCCTGAAATGTTACTATACAATTGAGACTGCTCATTCCGTATTTAAGTCTATTTAAAGAACTCAGAATATTTTTTATTAACGTTAATTTTCTATAAAATTAATGTGAGATTATGAGAAAACTTTTGAGTTCGAGAAACAAAAGTTTTTAGTACAAATATGTGAATGAGTACATTTTCAGAAATACATATTGTCGATATAGTAACAAAGTTTAATTCAAATGCACATATTAGTTTGAACAGCCAAGGAATTTCTCTATCCTATGTGTTACGAAACACAATAGTTTTCAAGTTCTAGAAGACTGTATAAAACCTAGTGTTCTAAAAGTATCAATTTATAAGTCATAAAATCCTAAATAAAATGAGGGATCAACAAATTTTCTATGATCTTCTTTTAGAAAGTTTTGAGCATAAAAAAATGACAAAATAATGCGTTTTTTTTAGCAGTCTCCTAGAATTTGAAAAACAGCTTTTATTAGATATTGAAACTTCGTTTATCATCTTAGGATTGTTTTTGATTTCTATCTATGCAATTAGTACTATCGATTCAGTAGAACTCGAATCCTTTCATTCTTTACAAGAAATAACTATTAACTACGTGTCATAAACTACAAATGAAGTTAGAATAAAAAAAGACAAGAAGTCAGGAAGTAAGCATTATCCTTACAATTTCATTTCGGATCAGTTTTATGACATATCTTCCTTCGAACGATCTACCAAGCATTTCTTTTAAAATGCGATGCAAAAGTTTTTGAAAAAAAATATCATTTTGTCATACCATATTCTCGACTTCCACATCAATGAAATATCCTCAAAAAAGTTCTTCCAATGTTATTCCCACATGAACAGTCCGTGTTTCTGAATTGTTCTGAGCTACATAATAGATCAAATGGGAACAAAAGTAATACAAAATGTAACGCATCAAAAAATTCTAGAAAAGATCACTCTGTATGCCAAAAACTCAGCATTAAATGTCTCTTTCCATTTTCCTTCTGATTAAAAAAAAATAATAGAAAATAAAAGATGCTGTTGCTCAATAGTGAAGTTAAAAGAACTTTTTTTGGAGATCTTTCATGTTGAACTTTTCCTACTCGTCAATTTTTTTCTGAAAACATTGCTTTTACTAACAAATAAAGAAGTTTGATTGGTAGAGAAGTCGGTAATATAATATAACAGAATTTAACATTATTTCAAAAACTTTTGTATCGTATATTATAACAATAAAAAACAGTGTTAAATTTGATCTAAATAATCTATTTAATTTAATAATTCTTTAGAGAAACATATAGATTATGTATAAAATGACATTCTTTACATACTGGTGCTTCTAAGTGTAAGACATACGCATCAGTATTTGGCTTATCATCTGTTTCTTCTATCTGTTTCAATTCGGCTTCCATTTGTGCTGTCGTTGGTTCTTCATCGCCACCTGGATTATAATAACATGCATAACTAACATCATCTACTTCTTGATTATCCATTGAAGGACATGGATTATCGTCTTCACCAGTAAACACTATCCGACAAATAATAGGATGACCTGGAAACCATATATAAATTCTTCTTTCTTTAGGTATAGTATTTTCATCAAAGTAAGCATTATTTGCTGGTTGTTTACTTGATACTATTTTGGTATCAGAAATAAGACTGGATTTGATTTCTAACTCGTACGATGCTGTCGATTGACCTAATTGACCTTTAGCTGGAGGAATATCTTTAATATCACCATTCTTGGATTTTGTAACAACTTGTTCTTCACGCACTTGACTGTTATAGAAGGAACAAATAAGTTTTAGTTTACCCCATTTAAAACTCGTATATTTTTTAGAATAAACTACATCTTTCGTACTACATGTTATTATACTTTTGAATGATGTCGAAGTATAATATGGTAATTTATACACTTGTATTTCATTATCTGAACAACGAATTACATTTAAACCATTGAGAAAAACAATTTTAATCTGAGTTTCAATTGTAATATAAATAGGAATCATATAGATAAAAATGAGAAACTGAAGAAGATAATGAACAGAAATTATATTAGACATTAGAGAACTTAAATATAAGAATAATAGAGAATAAAAGTAAAATAGCGCATTTTTTATTTGTAATATTAAATTAACCAATTCGCATTTATTTCACTACTAAAAGAACTATCAATCAACGAATGCAATTCATATTGCTTATTGTATTTATGATTAGTTTAGTTTTAGAAAAAAATCAGTGAAATTTCATCAATTATTTTATTCTCTTTCACTCCATATTTATTATCTAATTATGAAGAGATTTCAGTAATAAATTAGTACGAAAACTAGAACCATGAAAATCTTTTGAAAAACAAAATACTATTCAAATAAAAAAATCCATTAATTAATGCAAAGCAGTAAGAGATTCGAAGAAATCAAGTTCAAATATGTAATTATATCCTCATTTGTTTCATATGTTCAAGAAAACTACCCAGGTGATTCAATCCGACCTGTAGATCCTACCGGAAACTATCGGATCCGATGTCGGATCACACCGGAATTCGTCGGGTTCCCAACTAAATCCGATCGGAACCCAACCGTATTTCACAGGATTCCTAACTAACGGATTCCGGACCGGATTACGTCGGAAAGGATCCGATCGGATCCTGTCGGAACTGTTTGTCAGACAATGCCGTAACCACCAGGATCCTTTCACAGAGAAACACCTGATAACGTAAGGCTCCGACAGAATACAGTCGGATTTCATCAGAAGTTGGCTGAATCTGTTTCGATTGCACAAGGATTCAATCAACATTTCAGACAGATTTCATTCTAGCATTCTCAAAATTTCCAAGGATTTCATCGAGATTTCTGAAGATTTCCCCAGAATTTCATCCA